ATTTTACTGTATGGATCATAACAAAATGTGGTTAACCTTGAGGAGAACACTTGATCATGCATATGCAAAACCTATACTTGGACCAGGAGGCAGTGGTCAGAACAGAGCAAGGAAACACTGTGTGGTTCAAAATCAGGAAAAGAGAGTATCAGGGATGCATCCTGTCCCCACACCTTTTCAATCTATGCAGAACAGAGATATTCAGAAAGAAAGGCTTTATGAGGAGGAATGTGACATCAAGCTTGGAAGAAGACTTATCAACAACCTATGTTACGTACAGGACACAAGCTTGCTTGCTGAAACTAAAGACCTAAGGCGCTTGCTGCAGAAAGTCAAGCACTGTAACCTTCAATACGGATTGAAGCTCAACATCAAGAAGATAAAGATTCTCACCATTGGGTCAATTGGCAGCACCATGATAGATGGAGAAGAGGTTGTTAATAATTACAGCTTCCTTGACTCCACAAGCAACACTTTTGGCACCAGCAGTCAGGAAATCAAAAGATGGATTGTACTGGGAAAATCTACTGTCAGGGACTTCTTCAGACTGCTGAAAAGCAACTAGGTCAGTGTAGAGATTAAGGTGTGTCTAATCAGGGATGTATTCTGTCACCATACTTTTTCAGTCTGTATGCAGAACAGATCATCCAAGATGCTGGGCTGTACAAGGAGCAATGTGGCATCAGGATTGGTGGAAGAGTTATCAACAATCTCTGTTATGCAGATGACACAACCCTGCTTGCTGAAACTATGGAGGAACTGAAGCTCTTGCTGCAGAAGGTCAAGGACTGCAGCCTCCTATATGGATTGAAGCTCAATATCAAGAAAACAAAGATTTTCACCACTGGGCCAATTGGCAGCATCAGTATGGATGGTGAAGAGATTGAGATAGTTAACAATTTTAGTTTACTTGGCTCCGCAATCAACACTCTTGTTAACAGCAGCCAGGAAATCAAGAGATGAATTGCCCTGGGAAAGTCAACTGTGAGGGACCTCTCAAGAGTACTGAAGAGCAACAACGTCAGACTGGAGACTAAGGTCTGCCTGATCTGGGCTATAGTCTTCACAATTATGTGCTATGCATCAGAGAGTTGGACAGTGAATAGGGATGCTAGAAAGAGGCTTTGAGCTGTGGTATTGGAGAAGAGTATTGAATATACCATGGACTGCTAGGAGAACAAACAGGTTTGTCCTGGAGAAGGTGAAGCCGGAATGCTCCTTGAAGTCAAGGATTCTGAAACTTCGTCTGACATACTTTGGGCATATTGTAAGGAGGGACATCATGTTTGCCAGAGTGGAGGGGCGGTGAGGAAGACCCTCGATGAGATGGATCGATTCTGTGACTGGACTGGTAGGAATAAGTGCGTTTGGATTGGCATTTAGAGCTCTTGTACATAGGGTCGCTATGAGTCACAAGCAACTCAATGGCACATAACAACAACAACAAACCAGGTTGTGGTCTTCACAGTTACTTGTTATGCTTCAGAGAGCTGGGCAATGACTAAGGATGACAGCAGAAGAATTGATGCCTTCGAGTTGTGGTGCTGGAGAAGAATCTTGAACATTCCTTGGACTGCCAAGAAAACAAATAGGTCTCTGTCTTAGAGAGGGTGAAACCAACTTTCTCCTTGGAGGCTAGGATTTTGAAGCTCTGTCTCACATACTTTGGTCACATGGCCAGGAATTCTGGGAATTAGTAAGACTGGTTCAGGACAGGAAAGGGTTCAGAGCTGTGTACATAGCATCACTGTGGGTCACAAGTGATTCAATGGTACATAACAATAACAACATACTCATATGTACATATATATGCATATAATTAACTCTATCTCACATCATAAGCAAAAATTTATTTGAAGTGGTATACCTAAGTGAAACAAGTATACTCATGCCTTGAAGTAGACTATATTCTAGTAAGACAAGCCACTGCTAATGATAAAAGAAAACAATTACTTGACATTTTAAAAAATGAGTAATTACTATGTGTTAGAGGACAAATTTTAAAAGCAAATAAGTAGAGAAGTTAAAAAATTCACAGTCTATATCCTTTAGAAAGGTTCATACCTATTATAAATAAAGTTTTTTGTTGTTCTTACTAGGTGCTTTGAAGTCAACTATATAACTCATAGCAACCCTACAAACACCAGATCTGAACTTTGCCCTACCCTATCCTGTACTATCCTCACAGTCTCGGTCATGTTCAAACCCATTGTTGTATTCACTGAGTCAATCTATCTCACTTAGGGTCTTCCTTCCTTTTTCCAATGACTGGCCTTTCCTCACAACATGTCCAAAGTATGTGAGACAAAGCTTCACCACTCTTGCCTCTAAAAAGCTCCCTGGTTGCATTGTCTCCAAGACAGATTTGTTTGATCTTTTCACAGTCCATGGTGTATATAAAAAGAGCACCTACAAATGAATAATAGTAGAAAAATATCCCATCTAAAAAAATAAGCTAAAAATTCTGAGCAGTAAAGAATACTCATAGAGTCAATGAATACATGAAAAAATACTCATTTTCCTTGTTCTTCAGGGAAAGTAAATGAAATGCACAAGAAGACAACACAGCATCTTATCAGAATGCCTTAAATGTAAGCATACAATAAAATTCATGTAAAAGCAACAGTATTGCTGGTGAAGATGTGAAATAATGGCACTCCCATCAACATGACATACCGGGGAACTGTTCAGAATACCTGAACAAAATTAATTGTAATTTACTATTTTTCTGACCAGGTTATAAGCCTTTATTCTCCATTAGGGCATCTTGGTATTAAGCAAACACATTCTTCTCTGAGGAGAAAAGGCCCCGAGCTGCCTGTGCCCTTTATTCCAGAGCCCCAGCTGGAGGGTTCTGGTACAGACTGCAGGTGCCTGTGGAGCACTGTGTCCACGGCGCAGAAGTAAGTGGCTAAGTCCTCAGGTTTAGAGGCCGTGATGTGCAGGGAGCTTTCCTTTTTTGATAATGTCACTTTAAGTCTGTTTTTCTGCTGTTTATCCCCAATGGAAAACAGCAAGAAGAGGAGTTCAAGACCTTTCCCAGGTTCTTGTTTATACCACTGCAGGCCTCGAAAACTGCTGACAGAGTAACTGCAGTTGAGGCTGATGTCATCTCCCTCCCGGAGTGTCAGTGTCTGAGGATTCTGTTCCACCTGGTCTTCTCCACGCGACCCTGATCAAGAAAACAAAATGAGAAATCATACAAAGCATTCAGCTTAAAATTAAAACATCAACAGAAAAATGAAGGATGAGCTGAGACCCTCTCATTGGATGAAGAAGGTTCAGCTTTGGATGAAGATGCCATCGAGTCCTCAACTCTTACACTCAAGGTGAGCACCGAGGGAGTAGCTAGGGAGCTCTAGTGGCTTGGTAGTGGTGAGGAATTGTGCTGCCAAAAGAAAGGTATGTGGTTCCAATCCACTAGCTGCTCTGCCAGGGGAGGGGGTGTAAGGGGGTGAGACGTGTGTGGACAGATGGGCCATCTCTTCCTGTGCAATTTACAGTCTCTGAAAATCCACTGGAGGGTCAGCTGCAGGCTGGTTCCCACTCAACAGCACACAGTAACCGCTCAAACCTACTTAGCTCTTCCATGGCAGAAAGACCTGGAAATCTACTTCCATAAAGATTGCAGTCAAGAAAGCCCTATGGTGCTGCCCTGAAAGGCTACTCTGTCACATGGAGATCACTGTGAATCAAAAATTAACAGTGTATTTGAATTTTGTAAATAAATTAGTTTCATAATAAAAAAGAAAAAATTAATTCCACTGCACTTAACACACACAAAAAATCATTTCCAACTTACACCCAAACTGAAGGCACAAGACTATCCATGCACATCCCAGCATTTTTTCCATCCTGACATCTGTCTTCACACGTTTGTAATTTTAAACCTTCTCTTCTTAGAAAATCTGCTTCTGCATCTTAGTTCTTGCTTTCTAGTAGACAAGACAACATTTTGGTTGTGGCTCAGCCAATCAGTTCAAGTCCTTGGTTACTTTTAACCTCTAAATATAAGGTTTCTGTGCAATGACGGAAATGGAACCAGTGCCCCCTCGTGGTCATACACACACAACCTCACAGCACCCACTTAATGTTAACTACAGAGGAAAAAATGAGAAAACAGTCTTTACACTTGTACAGCACAGTGCATATAACATTTAAAGTAGTATTCAGAAAACCCATCTCTTGGATGAGCTTTCAATTATTTCATTGTTGTTTGATTGACCTTCAAACTAAGATGCTACTAGTGGTTTTATATTAGTGGAACCAAAGTGGTAGATGTAATGAATTGCATCTACATAGCAAAAAAATAATTTGAGCGTATAAAACCTTAAAGCTCAGAAAGAAAGAGAATCTAATAGATTGTGGATATATATAGTAATTCCATTCATATAATGTGCAGAGAATAGAGAACATAAGTTTTAAAAATCCAGTTCTGTGGATAATTTTATGCCTCACTGCAGAGAAAATGTCACATAATAGATTGTGGAAGGGAAGAATGTGAGAGAGGAAAAAAGTCCACTGGTGGATTTCAGAGAGACTGGAATGTTTGTTGCGGACAGTTTGTTACTCAAGCAAAGTATGTCACACGTTAAAACTAATATACACCAAGGTCTACTTTCTTAATTGACCTTAAGTTCTCATTTATACTTCCACTGTGTGTGCACACACGTGCATAAAAACACACAAATCTTTTCAGGAAAACCTGTATATTCAATTCTGTGCCTTTCTTTGTGCCCACACAAGAGATCACTTAAAGTTTCATTACATGTTATGGTAGTATTGTATTCTATTGTGTGAATGTGCAATATTTAATTAAGCAGTTTTCTGCTTTTCCAATTTCAAGTTTCTAATTTTCTACTAAGGCAAATGATGCTGAAATAAACCTTGTTGCACAAAAATATTAGCCAAGATGAATAAGCAAACAAATACAAAATATTGGAAGTAGGAAATCTACAACAAAGAGTTTACACATTCTTATTTAATAAATATTGCCAAAATGGCTCTAAACAAGCAGTACCAATTTATAACACTTGTGTTAGAGTCTTTCTCCCCTTCCTTGCCAGGACATTTTATTACCACAGTTTTATGAGTCAATTATGACTCAATGGCAGTGAGGTATTGAGTGTATGAGATATATTAATTTTTAAAATCTCATTAAGTACTTATTTTATAATAAATCTAAAAAGTAGAGGGTCAATGAGAGAGAAGACCTTTAATGAGATGGAGTGATAAAGGGACCGTAACGATGGGCTTAAGTACATTGTAGAGATTGTGAGGATGACACAGGATGGGGCAGGATTTGGTCCCATTGTAGGAAGGGCTGTTGTGAGGACTGACTCAACTGCACCTGACAACAGCAATGAAAGTTCTGTTCAGGTGTTGGTTATAGAATCAGAATATCTGGAATCAAACTTTAGTTCTAATTTATTTGCTGTGTACTTCCAATGGATTTACTCAGTAATTCTCTGTGATTTAGTTTTTTGTTTTGTTTTGTTCTGATGTTTTCTTAATCTCAGCAACAGAGAAAGAACAGTACTTATTTCATAAACTTACTATGATAATAAACTTGTAATATATATTGAAATAGTTAGATAAATAAACCATTTTGGGCTCTTTTTACTCCATTCTCTTCTATTTATTAATTGGGATAAATAGAGTTAGATAGAGTATATACTTACACACATATATTAGTTGCTGTTGTTGTTGTTAGGTGTTATCAAGTTGACTATGAGTCATAGAGACCCTATGAACAACAGATTTGAACCTTGCACCATATATACTGCACCGCACTGTCCTTGTGATCTTCGATATGCTTGAGCTCATTGTCAATCTGTCATGCTAAGAGTTTTCATCCCTTTCACTGACTCTCCACCTTTCTCAGTAGATGTCTCATTCCAAGGACTAGCTCCTCCTGACAAAGTGCCCAAAGTTTGTGAAGGGAGCCTTGGTGGTGTAGTGGTAAGGAGTTGAACTACCAACCAAAGGCATGATATTCTAATACACCAGCTGCTCCATAAGAAAAAGATGGGCAATCTCTTTCGGAGCAATTTATTGCCTCTGAAAACCCACTGGAGTGTCAGCTATGAATTGGTTCCAACTCAAAAGATATGTAACAACAACAATATACTCCTCCTGATCACATACCCAAAGTAAGTAAATGGAGTTTCACTATTATTTTTACCTCTAAAGAGTACCCTGTTTGCACTTTCTCCAAGACAGTCTTGTTTGTTCCTTTGCCAGTCCACTATATGCCCAATACCCTTCTCCAACACTATAATGCAAAGACATAGATTCTTCTTATCATCCTTATTCATTTTCCAACTTTCAGAAACATAAGAAGCAATTGAAAAGACTGTGGCTTGGATCAGGTGTACGTTAGTCTTTTTCTTGATATTGAGATAGACTCCATATTGAGAACTGTAGTCTTTGCTCTCCTACAGCAAGCGTTTCAAGTTCTCTTTACTTTCAACGAGCAAAGTTATTTCATCTGCATATTGCAAGTTGTTGATGAGTCTTCCTCCAAGCCTGCTGCAATATTTATTTTTATATATTCCAGCTTCTCAAATTATTTTATTAGTATATGTATTGAATAGATGTGGAGAAAGGATATAACATTCTTCTGATTTTAAACCAGGCAATGAAGAACACAATATCAGCTATTGTTACAATTGTTACTAGTGTTGATTTTCTTCAAGACTATTAATCTTATTGATTTGCAAATGCTTTTTCTATTTTAAGGTACAATCTTTCCTATATTTTGACATTTCCCTCTATTTTTTACATTTGCCCTTTACTTTTTTGTGGTATTTTAGTCATAAGAAATATTTGTTTTTATGTATTTGCATGCAAGAACTGTATAGTTTTTTATGTATTTGCATGCAAGAACTTCTATAGTTCAGATCTTAGAAAATCTGACTCCTTTCAAGATTATTTCTAAAAAGCTGAAAATATTTGGTATATGCAGATTAAATTCTATAACCCTATAATTAGAAGCATATGAAATTATTTCTATCTAGTGAAAATTGATTATTCATTAACTCGTTGTCATTGAGTCAACTTTCCATAGGGTTTCTGAGGCAGTAAATCATAACAAAAAGAGACTGATAATTTTTCTCCCCAGGAAGCACTAGTGGATTTGAATGTTCATAGGTCCAAAGTATTTGAAAATAACTCTACTAACTATGCTACCAGTTTTCACAACTCTGTGATTACAACATGAAAAAACCCTTATGTGGCAGCTTTATTACATCAAATCATCATGAGTTGAAAATCCACTCTATGACATCTAATAAAAAATAAAAAGAAAAAGAAGGATTCTTCCCTCCCCCAAGATTAGCCAATTATCCCAACTTTATCAACTGAGTAATTTATATTTTATTCCTGATGAGAATTACTTTGACATTAATTTTCTTTATGTTTTTTATTTTCTTTAAGTGATTTAATATCTGTATTTTTCCTGCTTTCCCACCAATTATAAAGCTCACTTTTCCTGGTATCAACTATTTTAAATTATTATAGCTTCATAATAATATTTTATGTCAGATTGGGGTTTTTTTCACACATTATTTACTTCCAGTGTTCTTCTATGCATATGTATGTATGCATCTTGATCTCATCATTATTAATTTGCATTAGCTTATTTGATGTCTGTATATCCTATTTGGTAAAGTACCTATTTATGTCCACTTCTAAGTTTACAATGGTCATATTTAATACACAAACATACATATAAGTATATTATTTTGAGTGAGATCATCTTCACAGCACCTGGTTGATTTGTGTCATTTTTTAGTTAGAAATGGATTCTAGTACTACAGCTAACTCACTTTCAGGTAGAGCCTATGCATTGCACAGAACCATACACAAGACAGTCTTAAGTATTCTCTCTCTCCCAAGGTTCAGCAGCAAGTCAAAAGCTGTTGTTCAGAAACAGTGGTTATTTGCATAGAATGATAGGGCAATAAGTGATAATTATAGAATTCTGTTCTGTGATTTACCTATAATTCTACTCTCTCATTCCCATCAAGTTGGAACTATTTCACAGCTGACTTTTGATTGGTTTCCTGAAGCTGTAAATCACACAGCAAGAGATTGACCATCTTTTCCCCTCAAAGTCATTAATGGGTTTGAACCACCAGAGACGTAAGGGCTTTGAGTTAGCAGCATAACCTTGACAGCACCATTGGATCTGCAAGATCACAGGACTCAAGTGTCAGGGCAATTTGCACAACTACATGAGTTTGCTTAGAGCCTTCTCTTGTGTGGGGTCCCACTCAAAACTAGCACTTTTTTTGGGCATTTGGTAAATGGGCCAAATAACACAGGGAAATAAGGATATTCTGCCTCAAGAATCCAAAGAGCACACCTGCTTTTTGTTAATGAAATATATTTGCATAATTAGTTATTAATTAAATATATAAATCTCATTATATACAACCCAAAACAAATCCATAGTGAGCCAGCAGTCTTGGAAATTCCCTATTCTACATTATAGGGATATGTTTAATAGGATCCATTTGGAAAATGATTGCATCTATCTTATAATCAAAATAGCTATAATCTTTTATATTGCTCACATTTTTTAAAAACTTTTAAATTCTGTAAGAGGAAAAAAAACCAAACAAACCAAACACCAAACCTTTATCTTTAAGTCATCAAACTGAACAAAAAAAATTAGTTTGTCCTTCTTCATCTATAATTTGAGCACTTGTTTCTGGAAGAAAAGAATTTCCTCTCCAAATTGTTTCAAGAATAAGGACTCTATTTAAAATTGTATGCTTTCATCTACTTCGTTGCACATAGTTCCCAAGGTCCGATTGCTTAACTCCCCTAAATATAGCCAGACTTCTTC